ATCACTATTGACAAGTTAAAACTTCCTGATATTAAAATTTTTACATATTTTTTAATAATATTCAATTAATTTATGTTTTGTCCAGTGGTGGTTAAATGGGAGGGGATTAGGGGTCTATCCCCCTAATCGTCTTTGATATACCTTTTTTTACGTTTTTCTACAATTTTAATTTTACAAGACGTTCAGTAAATAAAGAAGCAGATAAATTGTTACAAACAACAAAATCAATAGAAACCCGTTTTCTTACAGACTGAACCCTTATACACATTTTATATTTTGAAAACTTTATGTATGATAATAATTTTAAAGTTATTAAGCAGAATCAGTATAAAAAAAATTATTAACTCCACAAAATAAAAAAAATGAATTTTAATTCTTGGTTATTATTTATACGTAGATAAATTCAACGATGTACTATTTTAAATTAAATTATATATTTGAAATAGACTTAATAAGACGAAAAGCATTTATGCATATGTAATGGTCCTTAATAACATCTTGATATAAAAATACAAATAATAGAGCTTTCGAATGTGAGGGCACAGTTCTCAACTGTGCCCTCATACTCCAAAGCAGCATTCCTTTATCATTATGGGAATGATACATGTGCGGTAGGAAAACAAACAATTTGTGTTTGCTGTTAAAAATTTACGAGCACTTGAAAAAAACTATCCAAACCATAGAAATTTATATAAAATGAATTTTTTTTAAATTTATAATGTAGCTCATTTTTAAAACTGACGTTTCCAAGGTGATACCTTCGTCTCACCAGGCATTCATCAACGTGATTACAAAAATTGCCTATGACGTCCAGCAATATTTGCTGCGGAATTCTGGCAATTCTTATTGTTACCTGAGCTTTCTCGCTTTTTTTTAAATCACTTGTTTCTCAGTATTTATTAAAAAGATTTTTGATACTCTTCCATCGCAAAATTATTTGACCGCCACTGTTTATGTTTACAGAAGAAGAATCTTTAAATAAGCTATTCCGAGAGTTGATTTATAAATTTTCTTTTTGTTACAATAACAAAAAATCAAAAGAAAACTAGACAAATTGTCTGTAATGGTTTGTTGTTAACTTTTATAAACAGAAAAAACTTATCGTAAAAAAAAACTGTGGTGTTAAAACTATTCTTTTGAAAGAAAGATATTCTTTTTCTTTTAAATTGAGAATTGTTTAAATCTTTCTTTTTGTAACGCGATTTCTCATACTAATAACGACAGTTAACCACCAAAATATTATTCTTTTGTTAATGTATACTTAATTTTTTTATTATTATTTGTAAAGACTTTGTGCTTCCAATTTGATCAGATTCTTTAAAATTCTTATTATTGATTCCCCCTACCCCCTACCTGTCGATAAACTTTCGCTGAACTGATTGATGTTTATTTATTTTCTTTGTGCACCAGTTTGAAAATTAACTTTAAATATGCGTCCAGTGAACCATGCGTATTTTGTTGAATTCAATGAGGAAGGTTGGAAATATTATTTAAGGGATTTAAACCTTTTGTATTGTATAAAAGTCTTGATTATTCTTTAAAATAATCCTACATCTTGAGTAACTGTACACATAACCAGTGAAAATATAAGTTTATTTTTATAACTAAGTTAATTTAGCTATAAAAAAATAGCGTAACCAATTGGTTACGCTTGATGTTTTTTGTGTATCTATTTTTAAACATAGTAGTTATTATAACTGTTTAAACTTATAAAAGCATAGTCGATTATACATTATAATTACAACATTAATCACTATTTTTATTGTTATAAAATATTTTTATTTTATATCGAAGAATTCTTCATACATTCACTTATACAAACTTTATTAATTACCGTCTAGTGATGTATTGTCTAATGTAAATTTGAATACATTATTTCATTATTATTTCGTAATGTTTGTGTACTTCTTTATAATGAATTATACTTACATTTGAATTTTAACGAATGTTTTCTAATGTATGTTGGACAACTTGAATCAACAACATACACTAAACGTACAATGAGAAAATTAAATATTTTATTATTATGTAGGTACAAATATTGAGTAATGTTAATATAGCAGCTCAGTTCGTTCCGGAGTAAATATTTGTTTAGATACTTTGGATTTTGCTTGAAATTAAATTTTCTGACTTTCAAACTAAACTTCATAAAAACTTGTATCAAAGCATTGGATAGTGTAGCGATGGAATGAAATGTTTAATTTTAAATTATCTTAATTGATTAAACACAAAGTACCCGAGAGAAGTCGATAAAAGAATTGATGGACGTCGTTTTAATACTGGTTTGCAGTGGAAAACTCCGACTTTTAGTATTGAAATCTTGAAAGCCTCATAATATTTTATGATGGACGACCTCCCCGCCATCACTACGCAGACCATTTCTGTAGTTAAGCCTCTATTTCTGTTAAAGCGCGTATCAAAAATTCCATTAGCAAATTTTTACATCGTTGTATTGAAAGGGACAAATTGAAAAGAGAGGAAATGTTTAAATCCAATTATAGCAATGCGAATAAGTTACAAAGAGAAAACAAGTTTCATTAAACCTTCATTAATTTCTAATTTATATTACAATCATTAATTTTTTTAGGGAATTAGTGCGTATAATGGACGCTGGAGTTCATTTTAAATTGTCAATTGCATATTTTATAAGATTTTACAATATACTAATCTTCAATTTTTTTTTTTTTTTATCATCGATACTACCACGTTCATCCGATACTTATTAAATTATTCATATACTTATCAGCGAGATCGATTCCCCTTTCCCGAACATCTGCATGTTTCGGTTACATATTTAATGATTTAGCAATAGCCTGACGTATCGATGCGTATTAAATATGCAAACCTTTTCCTTTTAGTTGGTATATACGTTTATAGATTCACTACAGATCACTTGAATCCTTTCATTCTTTGTACGTTACGTACTCCTCTGATTGACGCTAAATTATTTACTATCAATAAATATAAAAATTAGGATGTATAGAGTTTTACATATCGCTTTTTAGGAACTTAATTGAGGGCTTACAAGAAAATAATTTAACTATTACTAAAAAATTTTTAGTTTCCCAGTAATTTTCATGTTCGAAAATGATTGTTGGCTTCTGTTATCTTCTTATGATATTTTTTTTCGTACTTCAACATGTATTTATTTTATAATTATGCTACACTACTCATATTTTTCGCATGATTTTTATTAATATAATTTTACTCTTCGAAGATATCAAAGCTGATACCACTCAACTTTTCTAGTTGACACTTTAAACACTTTAATCAACCTAAAAGTTCCATCTTTTGTTTTCCATTAATTTAGGTCTTTGTTCAAACTTGGTAAAATCCTCGACATACACGGCGTTGTCATTGAGTAAAATTTTTCATTATCTCGTCTTGGTAATAACTTACAAAACTTGTCACGATAATATAAATTTAATAGCTTCCTAAATAGTGTTTTCTATTTATATAGATTTATTGAAATATAATTAGCAGGACAGCTAACCTAATAGTAATTTATGAAACTTGATGTTATATTTTTCTGATCTAGCGCATTCGAAAATAATAGTAATCTATTGTGAACATAAATTGAATTCTATGTGAATGATTTTTTTCAAGATGCTTATTTAGGTCAGAAAAATACTATAATACTACTTAGAATTAAACTATATGACATTTATGACGAATGACTTTTACATAGCAGTCATCATTAGGAGATTGGGCTATACCAGTGTTGATCCATTATTCTATGAAGTCGCTGAATGTCGTTATAACAAAAATAAATCTAATGACTTTTACTTTATTGTTATCTTTTTTTCTTATAAAATACTTTATCCACCTAACTTTCACGACCAAAAAATACATCATGTGTCATCCATACACTTAAAGTATTGCCCAAACGATGATATACATTTTATTACTCATATCACATTAAATTATTGGGCACTATTTTTTTTTTAAATATAAATATTATTAGCTTTTTATATTTTAAAGTAAATAAAGATTAATAGTGATAATTAAAAAAATTAAAAATTATTATGAATTTAGAGCTATGTTTGAATTTGTTTGTATAAAACTAACTTGAATATTACTATACATATTTGAATAAAGCGATAAGTGATATTTGCTCTTTGTTGAATAATTTCTAGAAAATTATATGAAATTCGTAGCACTAAAATTTTTTATCATCTTAATTTTATAGAATTACTTAACACTTGTTTGATTGGGTCGTACGGTCTCAACATTATGCCTTATTTAATCTCCCAATTAAGCTGGTTGAATTGACTTATGTTTGAAGTAGTACATATTTTCCTTTAACCTTTGCCTAAACAGTGATTCATGCAAAGTTGGCTGCGGCGTGGAACGGGTGTATATGTTTGCGTGTGTATGTTGTGCTAACATGGGAGGAGGTTGAACAATTCGACCGTTGTGAAGTTACCATGGTTACACTATAAATCATCGTTCACCTGCGTCCGTTCCCTCGGCCGGCATTAAATACTTGTAATTTCCGAGAGAAAACTTCACCAGGGGAAACTATTAAGTTTCCAAACCCAAATTAAGCACGTAACCGTTGAGCTTCTTATCTACCGCGTCGATGGCGGATGGAGTTGGCTCGCCGAATTCGATTATCCGGCAGACTTGTGACGGGTGGAAAGACGGGCACCACCTTTTCCATTGAAAGAGAAACGATTGTTTTGTGTTTAATTTGCCGAGCAAATCCATTCAAGGACAAAATGAGATACCTAGCCACTCCTCGAAACTTACAACGTTATCAGATTAGGTCAAACAGTTGAGTACACGTGACTTGTTACAACTTATACGTCAGCACGTACATTTCAAACTGTTTTAATACAATGAACTCATAATATATATACGTACCGTTCTAGGTTTTGAGACATGAAGGTTACAAGTCCCTTTAGTTGAGCTTAATAGTTAACGAATATATTTTAAATTAAATGCAGTATATATGCTTGTAATATGATTTTTTATTAGCTATTTACTATTTTCAACAGGGTTTGCCTGGTATTCGGGTGCCATTAAGAAATAGCTATGCTTCGGCAATGCCACAGCAAACGGCTGTGTTTATGTACAGCACTGCTGGTCCAGATGGCCAAACAGTTACATTGCAACTCAGAGAAACAGACGAAGCTATCGAATTACCATCTTCTGTACTCTCAAAGATGTCACGGCAAGCAGATAGCGCTACGTTATCAATTAGTTACCAGGACTCAACAGAAGTACTCACTGACGGTACCATAGATCTCCTACTGGCTACCACGCCTCTTCATTCGACGGGTAAGTGTATTCTATTATTCTATTGTGGCTCATGAAAAACTTTTATAAGTTTAAAAAGTATCCTTTAATTAATTAAAAACAAGTTCAACAATTTAATTAAATGAAAGAAAACCATAATGATTTTTGTTACAAAAATTTTGTAGAAGGTATTTTGTACTTAAGTTCCAATTCTTAAATTAATTTTACTTCTCTTTTTCTTTGTCTTATTTTCCGGTCAAAATTTTTATTCTGGTTTAAGTATCATTGACATTTAATTTAAACGTCCCAGACGAATTCGATTGGCCAAAAGTTTGGCACCGTTTACCTTTGCGACGGTACAAGCGTTATTAATCGATCGACCGTATAGGTATATAAAGTTAAAAAACGCATTCTGCTGGCACGGATAGGATTGCATTTGTTTTCCATCGAATCACATAGAGGTAAAATATAAACATAAATCGGACGCGCGTGGTTTTGGCAACGGACAAATTCCTTTACCCCTATACAAACGTCACTATTGCCTGAAATGTCGAGTTTAACAGCACCTTATACAGTAGTAGTTTGTTTTTTCCGTCTCTCCTACTTCCCTTATCATCACCCTTTTTTATGACGTGCAACACCCATAAAATGACAAATAAGAGGCCCTTAACAATAACGGGGCGGCCGCCTTTTGTTTATGGACGTTTGTAATTTATTTTGTCGCCGACGTCCTCTTATTTCCTCAGTCTAAAAAGTTGTAGGTACTCAAAGTTTCATTTTGTATATTATGTAAAAAATTGTAAAACTATAATTACACATAATGCATTTTTCTTATATCCGACCTAACCATTCACTGATTAACTAGATTTCAGATGAAATAACATCAAATATATTTCATACAATATTCTGGAATTTATTTTCAGTTTTTCGTATCTAAAAATGTTCAGCTTTTTATACCTACTTGGTATGTAATTATATTTCTCAGAGTTGGTAATAAAACAAAATTTTAATTTACTTGTATTAAATGCGATCAATTTACAATAACAAATATTTTATTTCATTTATTAAATAATCCAAGTTTTACCCATTTCTGAAATATATTTATAACGAATAAAAAACTAAAATGATTTAATGATATTTACTGAAAAATACAGCTTTTTACATCATAACACGAGTAATGCAATGCATTTTCATTTCCAAAATGAGTATTACGTTTTTATGAACACGTGTGTACTCTCAAAGTCAATTGCTATAGTATTCTTTCCCCTGAGAGTTGTCGTATGGTTTCTATCTCAAGACACTTTTTGTTTGATTTTTTTTCGTAGCCACAAAAATATGACGATATTTCATTAAAAAAATGGTTTTTCGCACTTTCACTTTTACCCACCATCACACACGTTTCACTAGGGAGGGAAATAAAGACGATGGAAACGGTGTGGCCGTGAAATATTTATTTGCGTTCCCCCAGAGAAGACGACTCTTTTGTCAACAACGGTAAAGGAATGGAGATATAGAGTAAAAACGCTTGGCTTCTTATGTGCTCGGGAAAATGAAAATTCTTGCTCTCTCTGCCTGTGTCGTTAATCAAATAAAAAAAAAATCGACTAAGCATAAAAGAAAAAGGGAAAACTAAAACCATTTAGAGGACGAACAAGAAATTGGGCAACAATTTTTAGCAGATCCTTTTAGGTTTCTTGGCAAACATTCAACCGTAAACATTCCTCGTGGAACGAATCCAAAATAGTTGTTTAGATCATAGACATATTTTTATGAGTAATATGTAGACGGTCATATTGATTAACAATATATATGAATATTCAATATTACTTCATTCAAATTACTAACTAACTAAAATTTTAGTTTAATGATAATAATAATAATTTTATTAATAAACATTTTTGTTTAGTAAGACGAAAAACAATATTTTCTATTACTATTATTAATTTATGAATTTGTTGACTTCAGTAAGATTTTGTAGAAAACAATGAACTAAATTAGTATAAATTGACCAATCATCATTAAAAAACTTCATGGCACATCTTCGTACTGTATCCACAGAATGTCTGCAAATATAAGATACTTTTATCATATTTTATCATCACATGCTGTGCACACCAAGACACGTCTTACGCATTTAGGACCCATCGTGCATGATATGGTGGGTTAACATCAGCTGTACTGATGCTCCGGGCGATAACACTTCTGTAGAACTACATTATTAAATACTGCCTTTTACTCCATTATAGAAAATTATTTCCCCCGAAAATTGTAGCCATTTATAAATCACGATCATGCTTCAATTAGGTTAGTATTTAATTATACATATAATAAATATGTCAAGTGATTTTCAAACTTTTTTCCGAATTATATTTTTCGTTTGTTAATTACTCATGTGAATTATATTACTAGTCATAAAATGATAATATTTGTTAAGAATCTTATATTGTATGGAGTATACAATATAAGATTCTTTTATTTTAATTTGTAATATTATTTACTCCTACGTGGTCTGATTAAACGTCTGTGTCAAACATAGTACTAAAATTTTGGATTTTCTTGAACATTTTCATATTAAATTACATGATATAAGATATCCTTTATGCTTAACTCAAGCTATTACACGACAGTGCTTTCCTTATTTTATGCGAATGTTTATTACGTGTCTTAGAACACTAAGTTGACTGAATTATAACTCGTCTTTTCTTTGTCATCAAACCCACGAGAGTACATGGAAAACAGCGCCTCATTGTTCCTGCAAAAATAACAAAACAAATCATTTTTCCCAGTGAATTTTTAATAAAATCAAAAAAATACCTTCTATTAAAAAAATATCAAAATTATGCCATTGAAACTTTAAAAATAAACGTTCATAAATTATACTTATGATCAAAATACAAAGCAAACAAGCCGCATAGATTCGCGTCACTATACATAAAGTAAATATTATAATTTGTTTTATCCAATAATTATTCATATTCATTTGCAATGATGTGCCATGACCTATGAAAGAGTGAGTACAAAAATACATGTTTGGGCGAATTAAATCACTCTATTTAACCTCCAGGGGAAACGTGTAATAGATTTTTTATACTGAATAGTACTCGGTATTAAATTGTAACTATCAAAAATGCAAAGCAATTAATAGGACGCCATAAATTCTAACTGTGTTAAATGTAAATTTTTTGGTACGACATTTAAGTTTAATTTAATTGCGACGTGATTAAAAAGCTTTTACTCTTTAAAAATAATTTATTGAAAGAGATGTAAAAAATTAAGTATAAGCATCTCGCAATACCTTCTATGTTTGAAATTTACACGACTCGTTTTAATGATACGAATAATTGGTTTTACCCATTCAATTTTCTCGCGTTATACTCACCTGACACCAACATTTGACTACTATTGCCCTCCCCCTCGGTGCTTCGGTGGTCGTTAAAAGCGGCAGTCACTGTAATATAGCTGTGAGTATCTCGTTTGTACATATTCGTTTATTGGATCCTATTGTTTTTGTCCGTCTCGTTGTAACCGTTACAGTTTAATTTGTCCACAAAGTCCCCTACACCAACACGTACTCTTTGACCTAAACTCGTAAAACTCGGCGCCATTAATTCTTCAGCTCTTTCTCTTTCTGCTCTTAATAATTTCCGCCTTCTGTATCGCGCGGTTTACTACAATTACTTCTGTATTACGATTACTACAACTCCTACTGGTTCTAATACTAACAAACCCGCTTTTTATTCATTTTTGCGTTTAATATTTTACACGTAGCTATAAACTATATTACTCATTTCTGCTTCAAGTCTTAATTCTCCTTTTGACCCAACCGAAATAACTTGCATGATTTTTTTAAGTAATTGTTCATTAAACAATTATTTTAACATCTCATCATAGATTAAAATATAAAAAAGCTATCGATAATTTTTTATTCGCATAAAGTTGACAATGCTAATTTTATTTATTTTCGTTAACTATTTGGAAAGTGGCGGATTAGAGATAACGTAGTTTTCACACAATACAAAGTAGTAAAGGAATCAAACTTATTCGTTGATTTTTTTTTTAATTTTCATTCCTTAAGGCATTCTAAGTTAGAACGTACATTTCCGTTATTAATATAAAATTCTGAAACTACAAAGTACATTTTTTAAATTAAATTTCTAACTTGACTAAAAAAAAAAAACACTATTTAATCAACAAAAGTCAAACATTTATTGTACTGAAAGATAATTGAAAATATTTCATATTAAATGGTGTAATAACAATGACTATGTATTAAGTTTTGATATCAAATTTCGAAGAGAAATAATAAAATCTCTGCTTTCTGTACTTGGACATACATATTGTGGATGTTGACTAATAATAAATTAAAAATGTTCATATTTCTCAAAATAATTCTACCGCGTAATTATTGAAATATATTCAACGGATTGCGCTAGAACATAATTGCCAAAAATATAAAAGAATTCGGTAAAACGATTGTAAAAGTTTTCTTTAAAAAGAGAAAACTTTAAAACGGAGAGTCTGATTAAGGTAGACGGGTTGGTATAAAGTGTTCATGAAACGTAAATATGTATAAAAATAAGGTGGTAATTTAAAAAGTTTCAAAAGCTCGACAAATCCACGAGATAAATTCACCGTTTTGAATAGGCTATACCTTAGAAAACCGCCCCCATAAACGTTTATTATTGTTTTCCATTTATGTATATATTTTTTTGTTATGAAAATCGATTTTCGAGGTGTTTCCATGAGCAACGTAATTTAATAAGTTGTTATGCATTTGAACAAATGTCTTTGTATGCTGACGCAGCAATGTGGGAACAAGATATCATAATGTAATTGTATTTGCCTTCAAAAAGAGCTGAAACAGTTTTGACAATGTATGTAAAACGTTCTCTCTCATTTTGATTACTTCTCTGGAATTATTCGGAAACGTTCCGAATATTACAAAACTGGTAAAAATAATAAGGCCTTCTTAATAAAATACGCACCTAAATATAAAACTGGATTTCGTTTTTGTTTTTATCCATTTTGTGCGCGCGTAAAAA